TTTTTAATGTAACAAACCACTATTGTGTCCTAAATTTGGCAAAAACCCCTTTTGACAGAAAAATTCCTGAATAAGGTTGATAGTGGTCGATTTTCTTTGTAACAACCAGCACATTATCCCAACCTTTGTCCCTTAAAAATGCAAATTCTAAAACATTTTCGTTCAGCCATGTTTCTACTTTGTGGCATAATGTACTCGTGAGTGATTTAAAATTGAAGTCGAACAGTTTTTTTTTTCTTTTTTCCACCCATGTTTCAATCCCTTTAACTCCCATTGTGTTTAAAAAAAATCTCACTTTATAATCTTCCTAACTCGTTGCCAACGTGCTTCAAAAGCGTTGCTCCGGTGCCACGATGAAGCCATGGTATCATCCTCTTTTGCCTTGAGTGCAGCTTCTGACAACTTATCATCCCCTTCTCATCTGCCACCGTAAGTCCTCTCTTGGCATCCTCCCCTGGTTCGCAGTCAACTTTTATAGTGACAGACAGTGATATAGCTCCATAAACAAATTTGAATTTACCACTGCTGCAGCCAGCTCCACCTCACCAGCAGATTCATTATCTCTGACACCTCCTAATTCCTCACCAACTGCCTGCTTTAAGAGAAAGTAATCTTCCTCAAACACAACTGCAGTAAATTTGAAATCATAAATTTGCGCCCTGTTACTTGACTGCGCCCCTTCTCCGCTCATAACTTCTCACTCACCATCACTGTTGCTGCAGCTTCCCCCCCGCCGCCCCTCCAGTCCTCAACCTTGGCACCCTCCTTGTCACCGAGGATGTCAATGGCAGCGGAAAACACTGCACCTCAGAGCTGAGAAACGCTGCCTATCTCTGACACCACCTGTTTATTTCACTGCTGTGAAGCTAATCAATGTCTCCATCACTTCCAGACTTCTTTCCTGCATCAGTGCCTCCTGCTTATCCCCAATAAACCTCAATCCTGTTGCGTGAATAACCACATGTAGCTGTTAAGGCCACTCAACCTCCAGAGACTACAACAGCAAATGCAAAATAATATCCAGAATTAAGCCAACATTTGGTGTCTCGGGAAGAGGGGAAAGCCGAACACCCCGAATGACAAATGGTGTAGTTCAGCTGGTAGGTCAGAGGAGATGTTTTCATTTGCGGTACAGCACGAAGCAATCCTCGCCTCTATAGATGTGCCCCCTCAAAAAGAGTTGTTCAGAGTTGACAGCCATCAGTTTCATTTTTGCTGTCAGCCTCCGTGCAATTTTGCCACATTTGCCCTAGCTGTCATGGCTGCCTCTTTGTCAACAGATTGCAGAGAATCTGCTGGATAAACACAGCAAAATTGAAAATGAAACTTGGCAGCTCGCGCACATACATGCACAAGCGCACACACACACACACACGCGTGCGCACACAGTATCTTAGAAACCAAGGCAAACACTTGAATAACCCACTGTAGACAGTTGTCCTTGAGAAGGGAAAAAAAAAAGAGAGAGAAAACGACAGGGATGAAAGCAGTCATTCACGGTGCTGAGAAATAGTTTTCCTGAGAAGAAAACAGCATAACTCACCAAACTAAATCTTGCTCAGAATTCAATTTGGCTGCAATCAAGTTATTGGAATTATTCATGAAGAGGCTGGTTGCATGAATGACTTAGTAAACGTGATTTATTCAATGTCACATGTTAAAGATTTCATTGAAATAATTCACAATCTAGTTTTTCAAAAAAATAAAATAAAAAATTATGCAACGATCACCTCAGAGGAAATAAAAAAAAAAACCTGATGCTTTGTTATAAATAGATTATGGGTGTTTTTTTTTTTTTTAATGGAGTTATCAAGGGAGAATTGGAGAGGACATTACCTTTCACACCATTTAGTCAAACCGGGCATATCACACAAGCTTGAAGTGATAATTGGACGAAAACGGTTTTAAAAAAACCGTCCCGCTGTGCCGAGGCTGTTGAGAGATGTAAAGGAGGTCAGGCTTTTTGCACAAGTGGGAAACACAAGATGGTCTCACAGGTTTTATTGAAAGCATAGCCTTTGTGCCTCACACCTGCTGCGAAGAGCCAAAGCTCATAAATGCAGCCATTTTCATGTATTATAGAAGGTAGCAGCATATCAACAAATGCATCTGAGAATTCTTTTTTTTTTTTCCAACAGAAAACATCATAAACGCTCCGCTATTATGTCGGTCTTTCATGTGTTTCGTGGCCCCTTGCTTATTCCTTGTAATCAGTGTCAAAACATCTTTTATTTAGCGCATTGCAGCACATTAATAATACAACACAGTGCAATGGTTATGGTTTGTTTTGAGAAAAACATAAGGGGGAAAAAAAGTGTGTTTTGCACAGGAGCAACTGGAGGTAAAGTGCTTCAGCCTACTGTCAGAAAGCAAGAGAGTGAGTCCAGTTGATGGACTGAAAAATAACAAACTGTGGCAACAAGTGACATCTGATTGTGACAGGAGTGGAGTGACTTTTTTTTTTTTTTTTGGATCGGTGAGTCCACAGGAGGGCTTGTGATATAAAACCTCAGGTGTTGGGTTTGAGTTGAAAAATGCCGAGTGGTCCTTGTTTCTTTACCTTGTTCTGTTCGCGTTAAGTGTTTTGGCTTCTGTTGCTCGGAAGTAGAACGTAGCTGCCACTTCACCGCCAAGCGCGATCCTGCTCGCAAGGTCAAGAGGCTATCCTTTCTCCGATCCTCTTGCCGTTGGCGGTATGCGTTCTGAAAACCAAATTCAAACGGTTGGTAAACAGCCAAGGTGGGAGTTTAGAGTAAGTAATTGTTTCCAGGTTGAGTGGCGCATTCAGACAATTGGAGGTTTAATCAGTGTAAAAAGCTTCAGGTAGTGGGATTATGACTGGTGCCTCCTGTTGGCCATGAGTTGACCTCCACAAATGGGTCATAAATCTGGAAATTACCAGATGTATTGTTTTGTATTGTATTAGCAGATAAAAGCTCCTAAACTGACAGACTGAAAAGCGAAGCGTAGCTGCTAAATGCTCCACTACGGTCAGCTTACTTTGTCAGTCAACCAACTGGTGCTTGGCAGAAAGCACACAGTGGGCTTTTAGAGCTTCTGGAACTAAAGCAGTTAAGCTGATCCATTGTTAATATAAAAATATTGACTATAAATGCTTCAAGTGTTTTGAATGTTCGTCATTCAAACATCAAAACGGGATTCGTAGCATCTCGAAGATACAAAACCTTTAACTTGGTCAAATCAGAAACCGAATATGAAAGCAACCAGACAAGAAACATAATGTTCAGTATTTCACAAACACCTACCACAGTCTAATTTGAATACACCATTATGCCTGTTTCGATCGTGTGTGTGTGTGTGTGTGTGTGACAGAGTAACCGGGATTGTGCAGATTAGCCGCTCTGCTGTGTGTCATTGAAGTTCTTATAGAATTCTCGTAAACAGTTTAATGAGCAATTAGGAAACTGCAATGCTCTATAGGGATGCGCGCTATCCGTGAAATGATCACAGCCGCCGCAATCACAATCTGCATTTTTCTCGATCTGAGTTTGTGTATGTAATTGTGCATGTTGTGATTGTTAATGAGATCTGTTTATTAGATTATGAGGCCCCGCGGACCGAGGTGTTGGAATTGAAAGGACAGCAAAAAAAAGTAGTGTTTTAAAGATTAGCTCGCAGCGGCATATGTTGAGGTGGACAGACGTATGCATGCCCATCACGGATGGAGCAGAAGGACATGTGGTCGGCTTGTAGTCACAGGGTGATCATTAAGGAGCACGAGCTGCACAAAGGGGCAAAGTAATACCGGCTCTAGTAGTGTTCTGATCATCATGTAAATCAGGTAAAAATGAGATGAAAGCGTTCCTTTCCAGTCCATTTTTTTCCGCTAACGCCCCCAGGCTTTTATATTTCTCATCATCATTAGAGTGTCATGAAGTGGAAATACTCAAGTAACGGTAAATAGGAGCTGAAAAACGTGGAGGCACAAACTGAAGCAGGTCGAGGCCGACAACAGACAGAAGAATCGTTCTACATTTTTAGTGGTTATACTGAGCGTGGACAACATATTTCACATGTGTTGTCTTAAGTCCAAAACAGTGCAAGAAAGAAAAAAATAAATAAATTAAAACACATGGGTCGCAATATTTCCTAAGTTTGTGTCTTCCCAGGTGAGAGGGAGCCACACTGAGCCAAATCAATCCGAAAGGTCACTTCACTGCAGCGTGCAGTTGGCTCAGTTTGCACCTAGTTAATAAATCACAACAAGCTCTATATAATTATAAAATCAGTGTAATTATTTGTGGATGACGCATTTACTGCGCGAGTCCGGGGACAGTCGACTTGACTGCGCGCACAGGTGCCGCAACGATCTGTGAAATACTGTCTTCATTTCAAAAGCTTACAGCTGCTCTCTTGTTGAAGGTTCATAAATGAGGTTAATTAAACGGCATATCTCATCCCCACCCTCTCGGTTTTCCCTTTCTCCTCTTCTCCCAATCCACCTCACCTCACATCCACGAGGCGGGCTGGGTTTACTCTACCGATGGGACAAACTGAAAGACAGTCAAGTGATAGTTGGAGTTAAGGAACTAAACGACAAAAACATGAATGAAAGAAATATCTCTGAGGAGGGATTTGGTTTTGACATTTCAGCTTTTTCAAAATATGACTTTCAAGAATGGCTTTTGGAATATGTGGAGTTTGCATGTCCTCCATCTGTCTGCGGGGGTTTTCTCCAGGTGCTCTGGGTTTATCTCACAGTCCAAACACATGCCTGGTGGCAGCTTAATTGGTGATTCTAAATTAGCCCTCAGTGTGAGCGGGATTTTCTGCCTCTCTGTGTGTGTGTTAGCTCTCTGACAGAACTCAGAGGCTTTTGTTTCCCTCCTTGTTTTAGGTTTATTAAATGTCCACCTTCGAAAATATGAGTGAAATGAGTGAAATTACATTCTTCATGTGGCCAAGCGTTGCCGTATCCGAGCATGCGTGGCTGGAAATCTGTTTTGACACTGAAAAGAGGAACCACAATATTGTCCATGGTTTGTTTTTGTTGCTTAAGGAACAGCAATATTTATTCAAAGAGAGAAGTTAAAGTGACATATTTGTTTCATTCTTACAGAATAAAGCTGGACAGTATGACCCAAATCTATGAAACAATGTGCATTTAACCGGATAATGATGAACAAACTATTATCATCCGTTGATAATACTACTTTACTTGATAAACTAACTGCTTAACTCCAGGATGAGCAGTTCAAAATGTTGGATATTTGGGTATCTAATTCTTAATTGTAAGCAGATTAGTTGGCTGAACTTCAGCTAAGACATCATTGTGTTTTTTTTAGTCATTCTCCCTTTAATTAAATGGGTTTATTTATTGCAAATTGCAGTGTAAGTGAATTCACATCGGTAACAGATTCATCATCACTAATTTGATAAATTCGGTGCATTGTCCAGCCCTACTCCGTAAGTTATGGCCAAGGTCAAGGGAACACAGGAGAAGATGAAATGAACTCAGCGGAGAGAAACAATAATTGGAACCAGTCCATGACCACACTTTTCATCATCCCAGAGGGAGGACAAAGCAAGTGTTGAAGTAAAAAACCTCCTACAGGTGAATCTGCATGCAATTCTCTCAGTACACACAACAGATAGTTCAAATCTGAATGAAAGCAGCTCAAATGTACGCAACTGAATGCACAATCACAATCGACAATCTTTTTTTTTTTCTTCTTCTTCTTCTTTCTGCCTGAAGTCAACCGATGAAATGATTAACAAGACTCCAAAAACTAATTTCCTCCAGACTGAAATTCATAGAGCAATGACTTAGAATAAAATTAAGTGATTGTGCTTTTATAACCAAAGTAGGACAAATAATACAAAGACAAGATGTACATCACTTATAAAACATTAACACTGTTATATAAAATTTGAATTTGAAGCACTTCTGTGGCAGTAAACAATTTACAAGATGGCTGGTAATGACTGTATATCAATTACAGTTTTAAAATAAAAGAAAAAGAAACAGGACAACTGACAAACAAAGATCATACGGACCGCATCAAGCAGTCACCATGGACAATATTTTTTTTTTTTGTAGACACTCACAACCGCCATCAAATGTGCATTCATCTTACTTTACTGAGCAACCAGCGGCTCCAGGTCCTGGAAGCTGGTCACCCAAAAAAACAACAAAAAAAAAGCAAACAATAAACAGTGCATCAAATTGAAGTCCACAGACTTACACATGAGAGCACTTTTTCTTTTTTCTTTTTCTTTTTTTCCAACACCTAATGAGAAATTTGAAGTAGAAAACAATAGCGCGTATTGTGCAGTATTTTAAGAGTCTTTTTTTTCCGTGTCGTAAAGGTCATAGTCCTTTGTCCGAAGCACCTGTAGGACATTCCCGATGTGCTCACGTTGCTTCTTAGCTTTTCAGGAACTGTAAAAAATAAAAATAAAAACAGTTTATTTGCTTGCAGAAGAGGCAAAGAGACATTTGCCCACAAGAGATAACGTCACAACAAAAACTAGATTGCTTTCTGATTTCCATCTACCTCTTCCACCTGTCCTGTAGGTGCCATCTGTTCTCCATGCTTGGTCCTCGAGTCTCCACATGACAAAAAGCTAGAATCATCTGGCTCCCTCTGTGCGTGACCTGATGGGAAAGAGGGACGACTGTACAGAAGAATGTCCCCAAATTCTGAAGGAGAGACAATAAGGAGAAACAATAAGGCGGCTACGCGTTCAGTTGTTTACTCAAAAGCTCCAAAGTGAGCTCTGTAAATGAATCCGGTACCTGAATGCTGTCGGCTTTTGCTGTTTCCTTTTCCTGCTAGTGGAGTCCTGTGCTTCTCCTGGCTCTCTCTCTGCTCAAACGCGCCCTCTTTGACCCTGTGAGTCCCGGTGCTGCCTCGTCGACCCCGAGCCTCCCCGGAGCCCATGCGGGGCAGCGTGGCCCCCCTCACTTTATAGTCACCGTGGGACATCTGGCTGGTGAAGTTCAGCGGCATGCAAGAGTCTGCAGGACACAGGGATCCAAATGTTAGACTTATTAAAAAACATATTAAATCTTTTCCTTAGCTCCGTCTTTACCATCATTGAAGACGTCTTTGGGTTGGTAGCCCTGCTGGCCGGACTGGTTTTGTTTATGCCTCCTGGGCCTTTTATGTGTTATTGCAGGACTCATGTTGCTATCTGTCGACATGGGGCTGCTGGGTCGCTGGTGCCGCCGGCCTGAAATCATCACACAGATTTAACATGAAGAATTTAAATGACATATTACGCTTACATTTGAATCCTAATTTTATTTTATTGGAATTTAATTCAATATAAATAACATGACAATGATAATAATAATAACATGTTTTCTTCATTAGCTTCTTTCTGTAAGCAATGCTGTCGTACGTGAACGCATTCGCTGCCAAAGTTAGAACAGCTTCGACTATTTAAGTTGAGAGACTGCTCTGTGTTGGGAAAAAAAGATGATGTCATGTACTTCTAAGTGCCAGTCAGGATTTAGCAATGAACTGTGATAACAGTTTCAGATTTTTCATGTTGCCAGACCCCACTGTCAGCCAAATCTGATCATATCATGCCTTCGTAAAATCTAATATTTAGCATCTTTTCTGGCATGCCGTAGTGTAATTTGTGACTGCTTGGGAAACCGATCATGAACAAATCTACTTTTGGTTGTAAGTGTATTAAAAGCAGGCCCCAGAAGATAAACAAGGAAATCTGTAAAGTGATGCGCCTAGATTTTGGTGGTGCTCTTCAACAATTTCATCATCCTATTACTGTGCAAACAAACCAAATAAAGAAATACATTAACATCAACTCACCTGACTCCTCCGGGTATCTGCACATGCGCAGGCCTACCATATCACGCGACGAGGCCACCGCCTGGTTGAAATCGCCGTCTGTAAAGAAGGATCCTTCCGAGGTGCTGACAACACTGGACCTGCCTGATGAGATGTTGTCCTCAGACGCTGAGCCCCAGCTGTTAACCATGGACCCCGTGACCGATCTGTCCAGATCTCCGGTGCTGGAGGCTGGGGTCTGCTCCAGCCCGTAGAGGAGCAGCTTGTGTGGAGAGGGGTGGTGCAGCTGGTGCTTGTGCTTCTGATGGTTGTGGTGTTGGCTGTAGTTACTTTCAGCAAGCTCTGCATCTGTTTCCTCTTCCTCCTCCTCCTCCTCTTCCACCTCCTCCTCCTCATCCTCTTCCTGACCATCGGTGCCCATGTGGACGGGTATTGAGCTGTAGGTGTGTGTCGGGGAAAGAGGGCGCGAGTGGCAGGTGTTGTGTTGGCTGTAAGACGCATTTAAAAATATGTAAAACTAGTTTTTTAAAATCATTCTTGAATTCAGCGTCAAGGTGGTTTATTCTGATTACCTGAGGTGTTCGGCTCCGTCGGGCAGGCCATTTCTGAGGTCTCCCTGCGATGATGTGGTAGGGGGGTGATTATAGGACGCTTCAGGAAGGGTGGAGGCAGCTCCTCTAATTGGTGGAGTCGGGCATCCACCTATTGTCTCCTCTGGACCAAAACTGAAAAGAAAAAGGACAGCTGACAGCTAAAGGAATGAGGGGTGCCAGCGGTTCTGACACAAGAGGCTCAGACATTGATGCAAAACACTGCCATCAAAACATTTCCTCACAGAAAAACATACAAGAGTCAACAATAGGCTCTCTCTCTTAGCACAGTCAGTTGTTGTCTAGTGCTGCATGCCTCTCGAGTAAATGCTCGCTTCTGTTTTTTTTTTTTTTTAATTTGACAACTTCAACAATCTAAATTAAAGCCGCAAGCGGCGATGGACAGGTCCTCGCCCTACGCTTGTCGGTCGTCGCGCACGGTGGGGTGTGGTGCAAACCTGCTCCGGGCGGGACTGTGATCCGGCATGTCGAGTTTGGGGCAGATCGGAGCAAGTGTGGCCTAGTTACGAGCCACTTCCTGTTTAGTGGCGAGTCGCGCGGGGTGCGTGTTGGCCGGGGTGGAAACGAGCTCTAGCTGAGACTCGGAGCACGCGTGTAAAATTTCAGGCCGATTGGAGCACAGACACAGCACGTCTGGTATTCTGGTGTTTTATGGCGTTGTGGCCAAATTCAGGGGGGCGCCATTTCCACGCCGTCACACTTGTGCGAACCGTTTTACTAACGTGTAATCACCACCTCCTGTAGTTTGTGCTGGCCAAATTTCAGGTGTGTATGGATCTTCCCTGTAGGAGGAGATGGATTTTGAAAATGGACAAAAATGGGCAAAGTCAGCCAAATGCGGCAAAATTGTCACAGGGGTTTTTCAATATAACGGACTTCCTGTTGGGGTTAGGGCTTGACGCTGATTGACTTTTTTGTACGTCCTGACCTGCTACATATGCCCAGAGAATCTTGTAGCTGTAGGTGAAACGACCTTCCGACAAGAGTCAGTTGAATGCAAAAAACACCGCGAAAATGGACAAAATGGCCATTGATCGAAATTGGACGGGCCACCATTTCCAAACTGGGCCTCATCTGCGGAGCATTTGAAGAACTTTTACTCACCATGTCATGTAGTTTGTGCTCACCAAATGTGTGTACGACGAACCCCCTAGGAGGAGTTCGATTTAGAAAATAGCCAAAAATTGCCATTTTTGAGCATTTTTGAAAAAAAACTGGTGTGCTCGGACCCTAAAAAGTCATACTATAGCATGTCGTTTTTGTCAAAAATGGTCACGTTTCAGAATGTCCTGAAAACGGATCAGGATGTAGTATAGAGTGGGAAAAGTGTCCTGAACAGGCTTAAAGTCAGCTTAGCCGATCTACGT